TGCCCCCATTGGTCATTACGTCACGCAGAGTCTCTCTCGATAGGCTGCTGCATTTGCTGCAGAGCAACCAATAGGCGCGCGAGCTGTTTCGCCTATGTTTGCTTGCTGCTGCAAAGCGTTTTGCATTAATAAAAAATTAAAGGATAATTTTTGGCTTCAATATCTCGCGGAAAAGAGTTTTTCCCCTAGCGTAAAGCTATTACGCAGTACGAGAGATACTCTCGTAAGAGAATCATTTTTACCCAGACATCAATAGCTGTATTAGTATCAGTGATAATGACCTTCATTCATAAAAAGATGCCATTAAACAAGTATTTAAAATATACTGTCTTTATGTTGTCTCTACATTCATTTGTAGATTAACTGTGAAATTATTACATTATAAAATATATAAACTAATATAAACCTATAAAAATGTTTGTTTGTAGAATGTTTTAAATGTCAATCTCATGTGCAATGCCAATTGCAACCTCATACAAAGTCAATTATTCATCTTGGCAATATTTGCTAATATGGCTGTTTGTGGGGGTTTACCCTAACTATGTGTCTTGCTGGTTATATTGATATTGATTTGATCTTAAAAAAAGAATAAACAGTGCTGGGTTTCCTGGCATTTTGGCAAAGACAGGTATTATCTGAAACCTTATTCTCTTTTGGGGAAGTTTTTTTTTTTCTCCTCTCCAACCTTTACTTCCCCGTAGATTAGCTTTTCCTACCATTCAGTCAGTAATTTTTTTTTTCCGTTCTCATAAAGATGGGATGGGGGGCCCCCATACGTACCTTCGCTTTGGGCCCCCAATTTGCTAAATCCGCCACTGGTTAAAATGTCCCTTAGATTCCCGAATGCAGTGTGTCCTTGCACCACCAGAGGTCTCCGTTTTGTCAGGTAGAAAAAGTCTAATCTCAAATCTATCTGTAAAAGGCTTGAGCAATGAATGAGGGCAATCAATGTTTCATTCACTAAACACAATTGCACCTTTTCTCTATTATTTGTACAAAAACGAATGAATCACAGTGTGCTGCTTTGTTTTGTATTGTATTGTACTGTATTGTATTTGTTGTGCTGTTCATGTGAGGCGGAAATAAAGCAGCAGCGCATCTTTATCTCTCCGTGACCTTCTCTCGAGGGGGAGGAAATATCCATTTCCAAGTGGAGATACAGACAGACAGACAACATCTATCCATGGCCTATTGCTGATTTATTCGTAGATTTATCTTTTGTAATTAATTTATTGCACTAGTGGCTGATTTTTTAGTACATGTGTTTTTTTATAATTTATCCTAAGTAGCCTATCTTAATAATAGTGATTCACCAGTTCACATTTTTAATATAATAATCATGCGAGATAATGGTAAACATATATATCTAGCTGTCCATGATTATAAAAAAAAAAATGAAAATGTATTTTGAATCTATTGTTAAAATTATAGTCTGAGATCACATAATTATTTTATTCAAACATTTCATTTAAAGTGATTTTAATATTGAATTAAAATAATTGTAATTAAGATTCTGTTAGAATAACAGCCAAGGATCTAAGTCCTAAGTTTCTATTTAAGTGACATCTCAATTGGTTTCAACTTGGTATTATATATGACTATTGTTTTTTTTAATGTAACCTGTTGAAGACACCTTTATTTATTGCTAAAGGGCAAATGGTGTATGTTTGCTTTGCATATACATTCACTTGTTTTTTCTTCATAGCCTTTCACCGTCTGCCTCAAGTAGAGAAGGATCCATTTATCAAGTCATGGCAATGTGATTGACTGGGATTAAAAACAGCACACCGACAGCAGTTAATCTTAAAGCATGCAAAGTTCCTAATGCTTTATCTAGTTTATGATATTATTTGTCTGTATTTTATACATCTGAAATAGACCCTCCTTCATTCAGGCTGCTGATTCCTCCCTGAGTCTCTGGTTCCTCACACTGCTCAACTGTGGATCAGTTGTGCACTATTGCTATCAGGAACTTTATGTTTGAATACAATTACTGCTTTCCATTCATGCATACATACAGTACTGTGCAAAAGTCTTAGACACAATAGTGTTTTCACACACAAAAAAATGGTTTAAGGCTAGTTATTTGTATCTTTTGCTTTAGTGTCAGTAGGAAATATCAGTTTGCATTTCCAAACTCTTGCCATTAATTGTAATAATCCAGTGAGATTTTTGTATGCACAAGGAGCCTGACAAACAGCTGGTGCTCCACACGGAGATATGATCTCACTCTCATTGAGTCTGTCTGGGATTACATGAAGAAACAGAAAAAACTGAGACAGACTAAATCAAGAAGAATTATGGCAATGTCTCTTAGAAACCTTTTTAAAGTTAAAGCTGCAGTCGGCAAGTCTGGCAGATTGAGTGGATTTAGGCAAAATTTTGAATGTTTACAACTCTCATGCCCCTCCCCCACTATCAACGAATACCCTCCCACCGAGTTCGTGCTCGTCAGTGCGTGTGCACATGATTTTCTGTGAACGCGCCCGTCTCATCAGCATCCATCAACACCATGGATTATTTGGAGGTATGCTGTCCTGGCTAATCTACTGATAGATTGCAATTGCTGACGTCATTTATACTCTAAATGAGCTTACTTGATTTTCCGCCATCACTCTTCGTTACTGCGCGAACTTCCGCGAACTTCAGGCGTGTGCATGTGATTGTAACGTGCGCGAGGGGTGGCGTGTGCCCGATCTGTGATTGACAGTCAGATCTCACACCCCCCTGCGCTGATTGGACCCGATGATCCGGGAGCTGTGGATTTTTGCAAAACAAATAACACGCTCCAGGTGGAGTTAGAAGCTCGGGTTTTTTTCTAAAACCACTTTATTTATGTTGTTCTGTCGGATTATAGTGTCGATTTCACTGAATATGATCAAAAAAATGTTGCCGACGGCAGCTTTAAAGAAACCTTCCTGTAAGCTACCTGAAAAACTGTGTGCAAGTGTAGGCCTACCTATAAATCAAAAGCTGTTTTAAACACAAAGGGCCCTATTTTAAGGATCTAAGCACATGGTCTAAAAGGGAACGGCGCAAGTGCACTTAGGGCACTTTTAATCCACTTTTGCTAGTTTAACAATGGGGGAAATGGTCTGCGCACCCAGGGCATGGTCTAAACGGTTGTCCCTATTCTCTTAATGAGTAATGAGTGTGTTTGGGCTTTACGTGCAATAAACCAATCAGAGTCTCATCTCCCATTCCCTTTAAAAGCCAGTTGCGCTCGCCATGGCGGATTCCCTATTTACACGGCGGAATTTACAAGCAGAAAAACTGAACGCATCTCCAGAGAGCAAACGGATCTGTTTAAAGTCCCCGTGAACCGGAAGTTGCAAACGACTTTTCTCCAGTGCTGTGACGTATTTCCGAGAGAAACGGAATACTAAATGAGGCAAAATAGTGGGCGTGGCTTTTTTTCCAACTAGCACCTGATTGGATCTAGAAAAGGAGGTGTTTTCATTCAGCCTGTCTACAGTCAGTTGGAGGGGCGTGGTTACGGATGTTAAGCAGACGCCCAAACCGTCAAACCTACGTCATCAGAGGAAGGTCCTTCAATGCAGAGGGGAGGGGAAATTTCAACAAAAAATTTTTTTTTTGTGGATTGACTTGCATGGATGAACTGTTCACCACAAAACGATCAATTTAGGAAAATAAAGTAAGTATGGTCAATTTTGAATTCATGGGGACTTTAAGCGCACGAGCAGACCATCTACAGGACAAGCTGAATTCATTCCACCATATATCTTTTACACAATATTAAACATTTACATCATAATCCTCTTATTTGTAATATTTGGCATGTTTGTGTGCTGTTGTACATCACTGTGTGTGTAATAAGCAGAGTGTACGCGTGTTGTGGTCCAGCCTCCAGGTGCACATTACTAACGCGCTCTTTAAATAACAAAAAAAAAATAGCACGCCATTGACTTTAGACCAGGTTTCAGTAAGTCAATAGCGCAGTCTATATCAGCTGCCTCAAAATAGCAACGCGCCAACAATGCGCCTGAACACACCTCGCTTTCAGACCAGCAGCCCATGGGCGCACAAATGGGCGCAAATGCATTTGCTATTTAAACAACTTGGCGCAGGACGTGAAAATGATAACTGCGTCAGGCTGAAACTAGCAAAAAACACTTGCGTTGCGCCTGACGCTGCACTGCGCTGGGTGTATGATAGGGCCCAAAGGGTGGTCTTGGAGATGTTGTCTCAGATCTTCTGAATTTAGTCTGTCTCAGTTTTTTTCTGTTTCGTCGTGTAATCACAGGCTCGATGATGGTGAGATCTGATCTCTGTGATCAGATAACTGGCTTAATTTTTTTTTTAAACAATTGTGAAAATACTAACGTGTCTGAGACTTTTTCAAAGTACTATACAGTCAATGGTCTTGTGATAGTCAATGGATTTCTACTTTTATTTGCACAATTGCACTAATACATTGGTTTTCAAGTTGAGTCCAGCTGAGTATGTCTTAAAATTCATTATATTAAAGTCTTTTAACAGTTAAAATGCTAAAATAATTAAAACCAAGACATAATGCAGCGTGGAAACGGACACTTTCATATATATATTGTAGAAATTCGGCCCCTTTGATTGCAGCAAACAACCTTGGCAAACAAAATAATTGAATTGTTTAACCTTTATGCACATAAGCTAGCTTGAGAACTATTGCACTAATTATAGACCCACAACGGAAAACATATCAACAATCTATTGAATATTTTACAGTATTTTAAGCTTTGTGGAACTCCAAGAATTGTAATACGAATTATTGTTCTGCATTTTATTTTTTAAGAGAGAAAGAAAGAAAGAAAGAAAGAAAGAAAGAAAGAAAGAAAGAAAGAAAGAAAGAAAGAAAGAAAGAAAGAAAGAAAGAAAGAAAGAAAGAAAGCCTCATAGGGTGATGCTCACTGGTGAGGGAGCGCGAGACCAGAGACGTGTCATATCATATCCTCGTACAACCGCATCTCTTCTGTTTCCATGCAGGATCAGCTATAACCTTATTCATTTGGAAAATAATACGAAACGTGACTGCTACACGTACACAATATGTTTTCGAACTCAACGAGAAATGAAGAGCTTCGTGGAAACTCCAACTCAGAGAGTTTTACTTCTAAACTTTCACCAGCTGCTGATATTGTGGTTGGATTGGTTATAATGTCAATTGGTGAGTGTGATATGTTTTGTTATAGGCTACTTATTTATTCTGTCCGTTTCATAGGGGTGTCCTGTTCGCGAACTAAGCGAATATGTTTATTCAATGATTTTGGCTTCGATTCACAATTAGCCTATATTCAATCATATTCGGCTGATCATCGGTTACATTAAACTAACTGCATAGAACACGAGGTCGAAAGCAGTCAGATTGATTTAGTTGAACGTGATACTGATTGAGGATCTGTGGAATTATTTAATTTCTTTAAATCCTCCATGCGCTGTCGTAGACATGCAATATCGTCATTCTTCGTGATTTATGAATTCAGGTAACGCGGTCCTCCTGTCCGCTGTCCGAAATCAGTGTTGTTTTTTTTTTAGTTTTTTTTTTTTTATCTGTCATAGTGACTCTTTAGCTTGTCACACCTTAAAAATAAATCTGCTTTTCACTACTCCGTACTCCCATAGTGCATTGCAGAAAAATATGTATGTATTAAACATTGATGGAGCAACATATTTTGTGTGAAAATAAATCATAAAAGTGGTTTATTTTGTTTAAAAATCTTATAAATGAGGTGGCTCACCAGCATGGGGCAAAAGGCAACTTCAACTTTTATTTATTTATATAGCATATTTTATAGCAACGTTGCCGAAAGTGCTTCACAGTTAACTAAAAACAATAAAACATACACATATAAAAACATTTATCAAGCCTTTCAGATGAAGGCATGACTACACACTCTTAGACATAGCCTACCCCTCACACAACTGTATAATGAGATCAGTGTATAGAGATAAATAAAACTATAGATAAAAAATAAGTTTAAAGTACAATGTACAATACCCTTAACTAAAAGCTAAGTTAAAAAAGATACGTTTTTAACTGAGACTTAAACATTTCTATTGTTTGAGCTATAGCCGGATATGAAAGGGAAGACTGTTCCACAACTTGGGAGCCACAACTGAAAAAGCTTGGTCAACCTTTGACTTCTTTTTAGAATAAGGGACAGCCAGCAAAAATTGGTTAGTTTATCTTAATGTCCTACCTGATATGTAAGGTCAGCAATGTAGTTTGGGGACATGTTATGCAATGCTTTAAAAACCATGAATAAAATCTTATAATCGATCATGTACTGAACCGGCAGCCAATGAAGAGAGGATAATACTGGAGTAATGTAGTCCCTTTTTTTAGTGCCAGTCAGAAGCGTGGCTGCGGCATTCTGCACCAGCTGTAGACGGCATAGTTGACGTTGACAGATCCCTGAGACATTTGCAGTAGTCCAGTCTTGACGTAATAAAAGCATGGACGACCAAATATTATAATTTCAGACTTTTTTCATTAAGTTGAAGAAACTTTTTAGACAGCCAAACAAGCTCATTCAAACAGTCCAACAAGGACTTGAGTGCACAATGCACATGTTATTTATACAAATACTTTAAGTAAAATAGTTCTGAATGATATCGAAGTTAATACCTGTTCAAAACAACCACTTTAGCAAAGTTTGTACTATCTTCTGTTTACTTTGATAAATAAAAGAAATTGTTTTTGTTCAATAAATATCTTGACAAACAAAATATGTATATACATTATTATAAAAAGTAAAGATTCTGAAAGCATTGAAAGATATCCCATTATAATTTAATATAGATTTACAGTAGTAACAATAAATTATATTTTATTAAATTATGATTAATATCAAATTTTAAATATGATGGTTGCATAATAAATATGGTGATTATCTCTAAGGTGTACACCCAACTTAATATATGATATTTAGCATCTGAATCTAACCATGTCATGTCAACAAATGGAAATGCCAGCTATTTATGTTGTCAGGGGTTATTGATTTTTTTAAATACTGTTCTAATCCCTTGGTTAGAAGGGTTAGTTCCAACCAAAAATAAAATGTATGTCATTAATTACTCACCCTCATGTCGTTATAAACCTGTAAGACCTTCGTTCATCTTCGGAACACAAATGAAGATATTTTACATTTAAATTCGAGAGCTTTCCCCCCCCAAAAAAAGGAAAATAGCGACTTTTTTCAACAATTTCTTCTCTTCCCAGTCTCTGATGCTGGTCACTTTGTAAACACACAGTGCAGCGCTTCCGGTTTCTACATCAGAACGCCGGCTCAGTATTGGCCGACTCCTGCGTCAACAGCGCACGCATGCGTCGTGATGCTCACGTGAGCAGCGTCAGAGACTGACACAGAAGAGAAGAAATTGTTGAATGAAGTCGTTATTTTTGTTTGTTTTTTTTTGCACAAAAAGGAGTCTTGTCGCTATATAACGTTAAGGTTGAACCACTGTAGTCACATGGACTATTTTAATGATGTCTTCACTATGTTTCTGGGCCTTGAACATGGTTATGGCGTCACTTATGGTTATGGTTATGGTTATGCCCCCGAGAAAACGCAGCCTCGTGCTGTGGTGAGGAATAGGAGGCGTTTTTGGAGGCGGATGAGGAACAGGCGAAGGGCTGGAAGAAGGAGGGTGTACAGCCATGAGAGACCAGGGAGGAACAGGAGGTGGAAGTAACCCAGGGTGAATAGATGGTTTGTGTGGATGGAGACCGGATGATGCCCAACCAGGTAGTGCCCCACGGCAGCGTTGCTGGAGGGTGGAGAGAGTCCCGGTGGCGCCATGGAGACGAACCAAGGTGACGGCGACGTTGGAGGTGGATCCCAGAGTGCAGATGGAGAGCCAATGGAGAGAAGTGACGCAGAAGTCCCAAGAAGCAGCGCCGACCCGCCGACATGGAAGCAGGGATCCTGTGGGATTGAGGTGGATCTGGAGCGACCGAGGGCGGAGGCGGAGCCTGAGGGAGGACGGAGCGAGTTGGAGCCGTAGGGATGGAGGACGGAAGAGAAGCAGACGGCCCGCAGGTCCGTGGTGAAGGTGACGTGATGTCCAACCCAGGTGGAGTCGACGGCCCGCGGGAGCTCAGCTCAGCCGAATGCCTGATGGTCACTTCTGACGTCGAGGGAGGGAGGAGGTGACAGTGACGTTGGTGGTACGTCGGGACTGATGGGAGACAACTCGAGTGGGGCAGTAGACCTGGTTGGGGTCTGAGAAGAAGGCTGAGACAAAGAACTGGCAAGACAAATATCCACAGGAATATTTAGAAGAGGAGGTGAGAGAGGGAGGCTGGGTGGGACTAGTGAATCCAAAACAGAATAATCAGGCTGATAAAGGGTTAGATTCAAATGATAGTCCAGAAACTCACTCTCAGTGAGGGGCGGGTGGATGGGGCTCCTATCCAAACCTTCAATGCCCCGGCAATGGATGGGACAGCTGGGTCGCACACCTGGTCAGACGGGTTCCACTCAGGCTCCGGTGTGATATCAGGCTCGATCGCTCCTCCTAGCGCGGGCTCCAACATCGTGGCTGAGCCATTCTCTCCGTCTGCGGTGGGCACGTGCTGCTGCTCCTCAATGTCGGTGGGTTTCTGGCTGGGCACTGGATCCACAGGGAGTATGGATCGGGGGTAGAGCCTCTCCAGACATCGAACAATGGCCTCCCTCCAGTCAAGTCCTTACATGTCTGGGAGGCCTACTTAATGTATCTTGTTATCTAAACAAGAACGCTCGGCGAGCAGGCAGAATTACATTATCCAATCCAGCATGAAGTGGCCTCTCCTGGCCAAAGCAGTAAACTCAGCTGCAAATTCAGCTATTCTGTCACAGTATAAGAAGTTCAAAGATGAAGATGAGTCAAAAGCTCCAATCCAGAGGTATTTAATAAACGAATAAACTCAGATAATCCAACACAGTGCAACAGCAAGTCTACACACAAATAATAGCCGCCAATGAACTGAGGAAACACAGGAACTTAAGTATACAATGATCATTAACTAAAAGACAGGTGTAATAGGTGTGTTGATCAAATGAAATGCCATGGTAACTGATTAGAGAAATGCCATGGTAACTTCCCTGAGTCCCTGACAGCACTATTCTGATTTGTGAACAATTTCACAGTACAGTTTTAGTCAGTTAACCCTTCCCTGAGTGTCTTCACTACTGTGATTTGTAAAAGGTTTTACAATATAGTTTTAGTCAGTTAACCCCTTCCCTGAGTGCTTAACTTCACTGTTCTGTTTTGTGAAAACTTTCAAAGTAGCCTACAGTTATGGTCAGTTAACTCTTCCCTGAGAGCTTAACTGATTTGTGAAAACGTTCACAGTACATTTTAACCCTTCCCTGAGTGCTTACCTTAACCATTTTGATTTGTGAAATCTTTCACAGTACAGTTTGGGTCAGTTAACCCTATCCTGAGTCCTTAATATCAGAATGGTGAAGGTAGAAACTCAAGGAAGGGTTTAATTGTACACTATTTTGGCAGTGCTCAACCAGGGATGTACATGTTAAATGAGTTATAAAAGACTTTACCCTCTAAAAGAAGTATGGCCCAATGCACTGTTAATATGAAGGAATGTTTTGTGTTGGTGTAAATCTCCTGGTTATTTTCTGTCAAGTCATTATTTTACATTTTATTTATTTTTATTGACAGAAAAAAATAAACGGACATTTATGTATGTATGTACACTCACCGGCCACTTTATTAGGTACACCTGTCCAACTGCTCGTTAACACTTAATTTCTAAGCAGCCAATCACATGGCGGCAACTCAGTGCATTTAGGCATGTAGACATGGTCAAGACAATCTCCTGCAGTTCAAACCGAGCATCAGTATGGGGAAGAAAGTTGATTTTAGTGACTTTGAACGTGGCATGATTGTTGGTTCCAGAAGGGCTGGTCTGAGTATTTCAGAAACTGCTAATCTACTGGGATTTTCACGCACAACCATCTCTAGGGTTTACAGAGAATGGTCCGAAAAAGAAAAAACATCCAGTGAGCGGCAGTTCTGTGGGCGGAAATGCCTTGTTGATGCCAGAGGTCAGAGGAGAATGGCCAGACTGGTTCGAGCTGATAGAAGGGCAACAGTGACTGAAATAACCACTCGTTACAACCGAGGCATGCAGCAAAGCATTTGTGAAGCCACAACACGCACAACCTTGAGGCGGATGGGCTACAACAGCAGAAGACTCCACCGGGTACCACTCATCTCCACTACAAATAGGAAAAAGAGGCTACAATTTGCAAGAGCTCACCAAAATTGAACAGTTGAAGACTGGAAAAATGTTGCCTGGTCTGATGAGTCTCGATTTCTGTTGAGACATTCAGATGTTAGAGTCAGAATTTGGCGTAAACAGAATGAGAACATGGAACCATCATGCCTTGTTACCACTGTGCAGGCTGGTGGTGGTGGTGTAATGGTGTGGGGGATGTTTTCCTGGCACACTTTAGGCCCCTTAGTGCCAATTGGGCATCGTTTAAATGCCACGGCCTACCTGAGCATTGTTTCTGACCATGTCCATCCCTTTATGGCCACCATGTACCCATCCTCTGATGGCTACTTCCACCATGTCACAAAGCTCTAATCATTTCAAATTGGTTTCTTGAACATGACAATGAGTTCACTGTACTAAAATGGCCTCCACAGTCACCAGATCTCAACCCAATAGAGCATCTTTGGGATGTGGTGGAACGGGAGATTCGCATCATGGATGTGCAGCCGACAAATCTGCGGCAACTGTGTGATGCCATCATGTCAATATGGACCAAACTCCCTGAGGAATGCTTCCAGCACCTTGTTGAATCTATGCCACGAAGAATTGAGGCAGTTCTGAAGGCAAAAGGGGGTCCAACCCGTTACTAGCATGGGGTACCTAATAAAGTGGCCGGTGAGTGTATGTATGCACAGTATGAATGTATTCAAAATGTTTCTCACACAAAAAGAATAACATGTTGTGTGGCTTTGGTTCTTTACTCGATATTGTTGTATTTTCACAGTTTTCACCAATAGGCAATTAGCTACTGTACGTTAATGGTCATGTTTTGTATGTAGTATGTTTAATTTGATATCACCATCTCATGGCAAACAGTATTACATATTCATTTTATGTGACTGACTTTCTGAGTAATACTCTTCTCTGTTTGCTGTTGCAGTGATACTGTCCGTACTCGGCAATGGAGTGGTGTTGGTAATCTGTTTTCGCCGCAGAGGGAAGATGGTTGGTTCAGAGCTGCTCTGTGTCAATTTGGCAGTGGTTGACTTTCTTGGCTGTATCTGCTTCTACCCGCTGTCAATCTTGTCATCTTTTAGCCACGTATGGCTGGGAAGTCATGCCACCTGTGTGTATTATGGCCTAGGCTGCTTCATCTTTGGCCTGTGTGGCATGTTCACCATAGCTGCCATCAGTGTCATCCGTTACATCAAGACTTTTTATGGTAAGAGTGTGAGTAAAGTGAAATAAAACGTATAAATGAGATTTAGCGTTTTAATGAATAGTCATTGTATTGTTTAGAATACAATTCATACAGTTGTCAGGAATATGCTTTGTGTGACCTAGGGTGTTTACACGACAATGATATACTAAAAACGGAAAGGTTTTTTCTTTGTACAGACGACAACATTATCAAAATGATCCCCGTTCACGTGGATGCGCGAAAAACGAATAAAAACACTGTATTATGTATACCAGGCCATCAGTTAGCGATGTCACTTTGTAAAGAAAGACTAGTACGCGCGTGTAAATATCCACAGAGAAGTGGTGCCAAACGCACATACTGTTGTCGTGTAAATGAACAGCCAAAACGCATACAAATAGTTCATTTTTTAGTTAAAAAATATTTATTTAGTAAAATCTTTTAACAAGTCAGTTTTCTGTCATCCTCATTCAGTTCACCTGTTGTCTCATTAATTTTATCATTATCTTCTTATACCCTGTTATGTTCTGTGTCCGTTTTAGTCAAGATTTACGGGGTTGTGTTCTCTGTGTTATTCTCCTGTTTATTTGTGTTTTGAATTAAAGACTATTTTGTTTATTCCTTCATTGTGCGATCTTGCTTGATGGATTTTTGAATTCTCCACCATTTCTTTCCACTGCTGATGGTCATAAATATAAATTGATAACCTAGCATTCAAAGTCTTGAGGATTTAAACCACATTAAAAGTGGTATTTGTGGCCCACTGAAAACATTCACCCTCATTGGTAACACTTTACAATAAGGTTCCATTAGTTAACATTAGTTAATGCAGTAGTGAACATGAACTAACCATGAACAACATCTCTGTTCAGCATTAGTTAATATTTGTTAACGTTAACTCACACATGTACTAATGCATCAATTCACATTAACAGCACGGTTAGTTAACATTATGCATTAGTGAACATGAACTAACCATGAACAGTGCTTGTAAATAGCTTTACTGTTTTGTAAGGTTAACTTACTGTACATATTTACATTAGTTTACGTAGCAGTTGACACACACTAAGTATGAACATTTCTAACTCACCATGTTACCCTAAATGTGAAAATACTGTTGTGTACTGTTACGTCCAAGGACGTATATTTTTGCGAAGTACATGGTACTGTGATCTGTGTGTTTTCTTTGTTGTTTTGGTGTCTCCTGCTCTCTTTTGGCTCCTCCCACTTTTCCACTCTGGCAGGTAGCTGATTACGCCTCCAGCTGAACCTGCTTATCAACCAGGAGGGACGCAGCATAAAAGCCAGCAGAACTACCATTCAGAGAAAACCTTTCTCCAGAGCATGGTCTGTGTCCTGCCCGGCCCAGTTGTTGAGAGCTCTTGTGTTCCTTGTTGTGGATCTGTGCAACTATAACACAGTCTCATCCCAAGACGTCATATGACTGACGCTTTTGACCATACGTCAACATCCGACGTTTTAGGGTACCCTTTAACGTCAGTTAGATGACGATCCTAGGGCGTCATCCAACTGACGCTTTACCTTTAGCGTCAGTTAGATGACGCGGGTAGGTTTAGGTCTGGGGTAGGGTTAGGATTAGATAGCGTCATCTAGCTGACGTTGCCTCTTTCTGTTGTTTTGGCCTAGAGAACTGTTGTTTTATTGCAGCTTATTGTTAATTTACTGGAGCCACGCTCTGTTGCTTATTTGTGAGACGTCCCAGTATATACCTTTTTGCTTGATCATTTAAGCTGCTATTTATCTGATTATTTGCTTTGTTTATTGTCTGGGAACTGTAGGGAGGTAGGCGCCATTTTTATTTTGCTATCCCCTGTTTTCTCCTGGTTTGTGGTCAGGAAGGGAGAGAGTGTACGTTTCTGTTATTTGTTTGTATTTTCTTTTAGAGGTTTAGTAAGAAATTGACTCCCCCAGGAAGATTCAACTTTTGTGTGTTATTTTGGCATTGCCCCCTCCTGAAGTCTTTGTTTCCTTCCCAATTTGCTCTCTAAGTAAATTGTTGTTAACTTTTGAATAAAATTGTTAAAAAGAACTTCGTTGTTGTGGTGCTGTGGCAGGGCCCTGACTATTGCTCTTTTAAAATCATAAACTTTGTTACGTTCTGACCCCTAGACATTCATAGGACGTACAGTACCTTATCAACACTCTTTTATAAGGCATTGATTTGTTGGTAAACATAATTCTACAGCGGAAAACAAATGTTAGTAACACATCAGTTGAAATAGTGTACACTTTACAATAAGGTTTATAAATTCCATTAATAAATGCTATATTAATGGTAAGTCATGTCAATAAAGAGTCTACAAATGTTAGTAACACATCTTAATGTTGAATAGTGTACACTTTACAATAAGGTTATAAATTCCATTAATAAATGCTTTATTAATGTTAATAAAGAGTCATGTTAGTAACACAGTTAATGTTGAAATAGTGTACACTTTTCACTCAATCCATTAATAAATACTTATTTGAATGCAAGTAATGATAGTAAAGTGCGTATAAACATGAACAACATATTTTTCCGCTGTAGAATTATGTTTACCAACAAATCAATACCTTATATATATATATAAAAGAGTGTTGATAAGGTACACAACAGTATTTTTACATTTAGGGTAACATGGTGAGTTAGAAATGTTCATACTTAGTGTGTGTCAACTGCTACGTAAACTAATGTAAATATGTACAGTAAGTGAACCTTACAAAACAGTAAAGCTATTTACAGGCACTGTTCATGGTTAGTTCATGTTCACTAATGTGTTAACTAATGTTAACTAACCGTGCTGTTGATGTCAATTGATGCATTAGTACATGTGTGAGTTCACGTTAACAAATATTAACTAATGCTGAACAGAGATGTTGTTCATGGTTAGTCAATGTTAACTAATGCATTAACTAATGTTAACTAACCGTGTTGTTAATGTCAAATGATGCATTAGTATATGTGTGAGTTAACGTTAACAAATTTTAATAACTAATGCTGAACAGAGATGTTGTTCATGGTTAGTTCATGTTAACTAATCATTAACTACTAATGGAACCTTATTGTAAAGTGTTACCCTTAATGGTTCTAGTCTAAAACAGTTCTCTTCATTAGACACATCATTCAAAACTAACAGCTCTAGTGTTTCATTTTGGAAAATTGCCATTTAAATTGCCACTTTAAATTGCCACAAAAAAAACTCAATGTTTTGAGTAACAAATAAATTATTTTAACCCCTTGCATTTCTGTTTATAGTGTAAATACACCTAATTCGATCACCTGCAAATCCAAAAATTATCATTTTGAAAAACAAATAAATGTTACACATTTGCATTTCTGATTATTTTATAAATATGTACTGAATATGCATAGTCACCTTTATATAACACTTTATACAATACTGATTGTTGCAAGGCAGCTTCACAACAGTAACAAATTTAAATTCTGCTGTAAAGCAGCTCTACATCAAGCCAATAGTGCCATTATTCAGCTCACGTCAGTTCAGTGTTGATTCAGTTCAGTTCAATAACAGTAAAGTTCATCAATTGTGCATGCATACTGTACATACAGTGTATTTGTGCATATGTGAGTGCTATGACAAACTCCTGTGCACTCCACTGCACACTGGACAAGCAAAAGACACAAAAATAGTAGTGTTTTACATTTTTCACATCTGTGTGTAGTTTGGTGTGTATTTGGCTAATCATTTGTGTGTAGAGATGTAAAAACACAATTTTTAGAAGGGTTACAACAGTTTTGAATGATGTGTTCACTTCTGCATGTGATGTGAGATGTTTTACATGTTGTGTGCATTTTTTGCACGTGGTTTTGAGAAAAGTAGCCATAGTTTTAGAAATTGTGTGTAAGCAATTAAGAAAAAAAAAAAAAACGGTTCAACTTCAAGGTCAGTTAATTTATCATGTAACTGGTAATTTTTGGCATTCAGAGCGACCTCCATCTATGTATACAATGCTAAGTTTTCATAATCCAATCAACAACCAATGGATAAAATCAAGTCCCGTCCTGTTTTTTTCTTATTTGATAATTTCACTCTGAAATACATCACAATGGTATACCATTTCATGTCAACCAATCAGATTTCTAAGGTCTAATTAAGTAAATCAACTCATTTATGATGAATTTACCAATATTAACTTCTCTGTATCTCCAGCTACATGGCTAGAGGGAGCCAACATCCATCTGGTGTGTGTAGCTACATGGATAATTGCTGCTGTTTGGTCCTCCTTCCCGCTGTTTGGCTGGGGCGAGTATGTGCCTGAACCATATGGCATCTCCTGCACTGTGGCCTGGCGTCGTTACCACACATCCATGACAGATGCTGTTTATGTGATCTGCTCCTTCGCCTGCTTCGTGCTAATTCCAGTCTTGCTTATCGTGGTGTCACAGTGCAAAATCTTGCTGAAGATCTATCGATTTTCTCGCACCCTTTCCACTAAGGGCATCCACATCAACCTCCGCCGTGCAGAGAAACACCTGTCTGTGGTGAGTTTCAGTTCTGAAACTTACAGGATATTCTAGTATGATGACCTCTTATATGTCAAAAGCTCAAGGAAAATTTTTTTTTTTTCAATTCATGACCCCTTTAAATAATGATCTGTTAATCAATCAACATGTAATGTTCATTTGTAAACATTAACAAGCACATTATCTCATATTTATATCTATGTGAATATACTGTATATGATATGTTAAGCATTATATAATATGTGTTAATGACAAGCCAACACATTAAGTTTTAATAGTACAACAGTATGTCTTTCTTAAGCCAACATAAATCTTTACTATGATAAGAAGACTGTCACAATATCACCATGTTTGGACTCAGTTTGCACTAGTTATCAAAATAGTTACTGATTTGATTTGTCAGCTTTGCCCAGTCTCCTTTATGGTTGTGTTTGCCTGCTTGTCTTCATGTGGATTACCTTGTGGATATTACTAAATAACATATTAACCTTTCATCTTCACCCTTGTGCCTTTATATGCAGCATAACCGTAAAGAAGACAGACGTTCTTCAGAGTGATAATATTTTGTCTCACAAACTAATAAACAAACCACACACTGTTCAAATAGTGTAATGGGTTAAATGAGTTTTAAAAGAAGTTTTCGTTGTATCCATGCTAATAAAGCCTACATTGTTCTTTGAATCCAACTCAGTCTCTCTCTGACTGAAGAAGAGTATCCACGATCCTACTTTTTGCCATATTAGGTGTGTTCGACATCGGCTGCGGCTGGATGTAACTGATCGGCGAGAGTAGCCGCGTGCAGGCGGGGAGGAGCTGCAAACGGAGACGTGAAGTCGGACACTTTCTGGTTCCTGTAGTGACCGCTCACGTGGTGTTTGTATACTTTACCCAGTAGCGGTTTTAGGCACGGGCGAACCGGGCAGTCGCCTGGGGCGGCATTTTTTCATGTCACATGGGGGGCGGCACGAGCAGTTAAAAAAATCCTCTGCGCCGCGAAGGTTTTCTATTTTCTATCATTTCAATTCAATTATTGGCAATGGCGCCCCTGCTTGCTGAGAAGGTGCCGTGCACAGAAGCTATGTCAAGGGGGTCTCCAGATTGGAGGTAGCTCACCAAGGGGCCGTTCACATATCGCGTCTTTTGCGCACTCGAGGTCGTTATTTCAAATGTAGGCGCACGGGAAGCGCGCTCATAATTGAAGCGACGCGCTCATTTTTTCCAGGAGCAGCGAGATGAACATTTTTAATCTTTTCAGTATGGGGGTGCACCCAAACACGTGGGTGTTTTTCTCTTCTCCGTAAATAAATCTTTTAGCAGAGCTACAGCAAGCGTTTTTCTGTGGTGGAAATCCTAAAACTTCTTTGTCGTTGTGGAGAGCGCAGTGCATGGTTGTATAGCAACGACAGCCATGGGAAAATCGGACCGAATTTTACTATTAATAATAAAAAATAAGCTACTGTGCATTATAAATGTCAGGAATTTATCTTTATTGACCCATTCTTTTTATAAAGATGATTTAAAGGCTGAAATATGTGAGGTTTATCTTTTTATAAAACCTTTTTTTTGTCAAAAGTTTATTTGAACGTGTAGGCTACATGTTATTAGATAACATAAAACACACTCCTTTAAAATTTGACCATCATCTTTAATGTTATTAACTTGGTGAATAGATTTCATTGTGTATTAGGCCTACTTTTTGAACAAGATTCTGTGTTTAACTGTGAGCTCGAAGGGGGTCTCGCCCAGGGTGTAATTCAATGTAGAACCGCCACTGACTTTACCACAGCTGAAGTGAAATAAATGCAATATTTGCCAAATACACAGATGTTTCAGAGACATTTTCATTCAATACTTTATGTACTGCTTCATACAGCGTTTGTTTGAACAAGAATAAAGTTCAACATAAGCCTACAGCTACTATCAATGAAGTGGAATCAACGTTTTTTAATCAGTTTTATTTTGATAAACATAACACAATACATCGCGACTACATGAAAAGAGTGTTTACTGTTATAAAAAAAACTGATTTGTGAGCTTTAGTGGAACTAAAGGTGTGAGAATAAACCGAATAAACACGAAACGCACGTGATCGTTGTCATGCGGTGAATCCGGCCAATCGTGGAACAGCTGTGTCGTCATCAGAGCTCGTGCAGCCCAGAGCAGCCGCTCTTCAGAAGCTGCGCTGGCTGAGTTCTCCGGCTACTCTCGAATCGCTCTCGCGGTACTTTGATGGCATACGTCACAGTCACGTGGCGTCGGCGCTGTATCAAGTCGGACAAAATTTCTAACCGGCATGCACTGCTTCAAGTCTGCCGCCGATCGGTCTGCGCAGAGCTGCATGAAGTCGAACAAGCCTACTGTCTATCTGCACATATTCATATGCAAATGTCACGAGGTGACGAAATGGAGATGGAACTAAACAGTCTGCGGAGGGATGTTTCCACCCGGAGCGATTTCAACCGAACACCAAGCCAGCCTCGGATGCGTCGCTACCATAGTAACAACAGCAGCTGATGGCAGAGTGACAGCAGGTGCAGCGGATTAAGCGGCCGTTTGATGATTGGGACACGCAGCCTTGAGAACCAGATAAAAACAAAGTTTTGAGAGACGGAGAAGGAGAGCAGTACGGGGCAGCAGCACGGTGCGAGCAGACGGGGAACGCGAGTGCAGCAGCGTGCAGCAGCGTGCAGCAGCGCGCAGCAGGGGTGGGGGGGTTGCAGTGTTGGGTTATTGTTGCACCCTTATTCTGGTCCCTGTCAAGATGGGCTGAGAGATTCCCGTGGGACGAATCGGCTGGTGAGATCGATCTGCGGAAAGGGATCTGCTACAAAGAATTGAAGGCGAAGAACAGAGAGGCAGAGGGCGAAGTTGTATACCCAGTATCATCGAGTCTACTCACTGGGTGAAGATGAGTACCAACCTTCTATTGGCTGTATTGAATGTGATTCTCACATGAAGATATTGTATATGAGGAGGAGTGGCATAGGGAAAAGGAGTCCAGACGTCTGAATGAGAAGACAGCTGTTGTGATGCATGATTGATGTCGCTAAATTCTTCCGTCTTACCGCCCCCACTGTTCAGAGCGAGGAGGTGGGCCATGGCCCTAAATTTCACGGAGTGGATGAGAGTGACGTGTGTTAATGCGGTGCCCCACCGTGTGTGGTTGAGGTGAAGTTGCTGCATGCTTAATGTACAGAATTCTGTCACGTGCCCATCGGTCTTGTGTTACAGTTTGGAGTTTTCTGCGGAAGAGATTAAGTGAATGTGAAGTCTGAGCCTTCTGCACCTGATATACGGGGAAGAACCAACCGTACTCAGGGTACGTAACGGTTGTCTAGTCGACGCCCCCTTCACAGCCGTAAGCCTTGGGCACCTGAGAGACTGAGAAGAGTTAACCGTACGGAGAGTAAGCCTTGGGCACCTGAGAGACTGAGAAGAGTTAACCGTACGGAGAGTAAGCCTTTGGCACCTGAGAGACTGAGAAGAGTCAACCGTGCTTAGAGTACTTACCTGCTGTCCAGTCAATACCCCTGCAGCCTTCAAGGTACGCGCCGCCGTTGAGGAGTGGCATTCCCCTGCAGCCATTGGATACTGAGAAAGAAGTTTTAAATTAGGATTTACAAATTATTTTAAGTCAATAAAGTCTGTTCAATTTTCATCTCGTTGTTCTGCTTGGTTTCTGGTCTGCTCCTCAGTGGTACTGGCTAAAGGGAGGGTGTAGACTGAGTCGGCCCTCCCGACCTGTGACACAAATGTACACAGTGTCACACCATGTCCCTTAAACAAGATCATGTTTCACAATGCAAATGTTTGTTGCATGACTCATGTACCTTCCCTTAGGGAGTGGCAACCGTCTTTAAAATTCTCATTCTAAAGGTTAAATGAGAGGAAATCATCGCTGAATCTCGTACACAATTGAGTGTCATCGTACAACACCATTCTTAATCTTTTATATTGAGTTTTTTACAACCATCAAGCTTCAAAAAGGTGAGTGTGAGTTATTTTATAATAGCTAAGTTTGCAGTATGTGATCGCACACAAAACAATGTTGTTAATTTGTTTTTTACAAATCAATCCGTATAATGTGAACTCAACCCATAGGAAACCATTATTGCTTTATACACACTCTTTTGCTTCTGTCTGTTTTTAAGTGTATAGGGTAGGTGGAAGTCCTTGTATTTAACATCAAATCATAAAGTGTGCTTTATAATCATACAAAATTTAAAGTAGCCAGATACTCTGATTGTTCTAAGACCCAAACTCTGCTTGTGACATGTCTAATTAAAAGAATGCTGTCATGACTGGTTCTGAGTGCTGGTTCTGATTTGTGGTCTTTTAAGTCATTTTTCAAAATGACGAAGGGCTCTTTAGATTAAGTGTATGTGCATTTGGAGTATTGGTGTACATTTTAACATGACATGACATTCTTATAATCTTAACCCTTGTGTTATGTTGCGGGTCAATTTGACCCGTTTCGATTTTCAAGTTGTTGGAAATACTGGTTAACTTTTGTTTTTTTTCTTGATATTTTGTGACTTTCTCATTTATCATGATGAACATGCATGCAAAGTTTCAACATGCTGATGTGTTTTGGCATATACAAACAAAATTACTGTTACGTTCGTGATGTTCGCGGGTCAATTTGACCCTCATAGACAGCCATTCAAAAGCAACTGTACAGACACAAAATAAAAACATTTATTTTCTGTATGTCAGGGCACTTTAACTCCAGTTCTAAAGTGCAAGTGCATCTAAAAGTGCTCTAACCCTAACCAAACACACTTGAAAAAGCTAAAATTACAGTGTTCAGAATTATTTGCAAATTACAGATGAAAATCTTTGTCAGACACAGATAGTAAAATAAGCTCTCATTTCAATATTCAAATTAAATATCTAAAATACCTAGCTTTTAACCAAAACTTTTATGTAGGATTTTCAAAGGCAGCTTCACAGAGCCAAAAAATAAATATAACAAAAACATACATCAAATAATTTTTTTTATTTGGTTTCTCACTTCC